TTGTAACACCCAAATACTTATAGTCTGACACTTGCTCGATGTTTTCACATTTCATTTTGAGTGGCTGCAGGGGCAGTTTCTTTATTCTAAACTCAAATTATGTTTCAGACATTTATTCTCTAAAGAAGAAGGATTTGTCAGATACCATTAAGGATTAGGATTAAGAACTGTCTTTAAAGGAGGAGAATTTATTAGATATCTGAAATGGTTATGAATAAGGCATGTGTTTAAGGGTGGAGGACTTATCAAATGTCCTGAAGGGTTAGGGTGAAGACAATATCTTTAAGGAGGATTTATCAGATGCCTTGAAGGGTTAGGGTTAAAGTTCAATAGACAGAGAATGTTTGTTCTGTTTCGGAAAAGTCCCTAAAGGAGGAGGTTTTCTGAAATGCCTGGAAGAGTTAGGGCTAAAGGTAAAAAGACAAAAAAATGATTAAATTGTTTGAGACATGCCTCGAAAGAAGTAAAATCTTCAGACGTCTGGAAGGGTTAGGGTTTGAGTTCGAAAGACAAATGTTCGAACAGTTTGAGACACGGGTATAAAGAAGGAAAATCTATAAGGTGATTGAATATTTGTTTTGACAGTGAGTTGAAAGACTAAAAGATGGATATTTTACGATTTAAACAGATAGATAGATAGATAGATAGATAGATAGATAGATAGATAGATAGATAGATAGATAGATAGATAGATAGATAAATAGATAGATAGATAGATAGATAGAGCGAGAGAGATATAGATAAAGGGATAGATAGATACTTACAGCTTTCTCTATGTTCATGCCTCTCTCTGTTGGCAAAAGTGCAGGGTTGATTTCTTGCTGCTTTTGTTTTTCTTTAGCAGACTTTTTCTTCTTTCCAGATTTTCCTGTGAACATTTTGTTTCAAAGAGAAAACACATTTGTGTCACGACATGATAGAATATCATGGCGCCCGTCAGTTTTCTCTTTGATATAGAATTATTGGTATAATGTTAAAGCCAATTCATCTGCTTTTTTGTGAAAAGAATATCTATCTACTTTAAATAGAAGTCGGAATATGATTTATTTAAGAAGATGGGGTCGCCTGGTTCATAAATTAGCAACAAAATGGACACCAAAGTTGTATGCTTTTGAAAGATGTTAGAATCCTTGGAAACTGCAATTCTACAGTCATTTTAAATACATTTAATCAACATTTGTAATAACATTCGGTATGCTGGCAGGAATGTGCTTTAAGTGGAAATAGGTGTTGAGCCCAAAACAAAACAGGACGTTTTGATCATTCCAAATAATAATTACAAATAGTAAGTTTGTTCTGAAAAAAGCAAACTAAATTACGTCCAGTTTATTTAACATTTACCTTTCTTTTTCTTCTCTTCCTCTTCCACGCCATCATTCTTTTTCTCTCCTCCTCCTGCGCCCTCATTCTGGTCTGCCTTCTTTTCTTGTTTAGTGTACTTCGGGGTCTGCTCCGCCACAGTCGACTCGAAGATGATCTCGTAGAATGGAAGACGATCGGGGCTAGAGAGGGACAAATAGATGAAGCAAAGGCCAAAGGCCAGTTTAGGTTGCCAGTCTATTAGCTGATTGTTTTACGTTTAGATCGACATAGTTTAGGTCATTTACGAAATGGCCTGCTGCGACCTTTATTGTCTGCTAGGGCCAACCCGGGCGAATGGGATACAACATCTCTCAGCTGATAAAAAAAAAGAAATACAGTCGAACCTGCTCTAACGTCAACTGTATAAAACAATGACCTGAACAGACAGCCGCTTGCGGGCTCTCGTGGTCTAGACGTTAAGGTGTTCGCCTCTCATTCAATAGGTCCTGGGTTCGAATCTGTATAGCAACGAAAAATGTTCTTCTATAAAATTATTTCCTTTCACATCCTTTCCCGCTTTCTAACACTGTTGTGTCGTTTGCTGTCGTCTCCCCTTTCTGCCCTTACCTCTCACCTCCTTTTCCTCCTCCTCTGGCTCTTAACTCTTTCTGTAGTCTTTCTGTTTTGTTTTTGTTTGTTTTTGTAAGTGTTTTACGGCGCTCGCAACTGCATAAGGTCATATGAGCGTGCGGGACACACTAAACTTTTTTAGTTGGTAGGAAATTTTGAATTTTGCCCGGGTGGCGGCCGAAGCCTACTCTTATCGATTTTAGACCACCAAGGGATCTTT